GCCAAGAATTCCTAGTTGCAAAACAAGGAATTCCAAGCAAGCAAAATCTGCAGAGCCAGGAAGTGTGTGTGTTCGGGAAAGGAAGAATGTATTTTATCTTGCCTATAATGCTGTTGCATTATATAGTTCTCTAGTGATTTTGTAAGGTTTATGGATAGTCTTGGCCTCTGAAATCATAACATGTCCAGACACTGTGGCTTCTCAGCTCCTTTGCAAAGGCAAAGTAAGTCATAAAAATATAAACATTAAGACTCCAAATATTCAGGGAACTTCCTCAGGTTGGTCGATCTTATTTATTTATTTATTTATTTAGTTAGTTAGTTAGTTAGTTAGTTAGTTAGTTATTATCTATCCCAATTGAAGAAGCTAAAGGAAAACAAGTTTTCTAAATATATATTTTAGAACAAAATATATATTTTTAGCAGCTGTAGAAAAATATGAAAAAAAAAAATAAACCATGTGAGTGAATAATCTCTATAAAGCATAGAAGAAATGCTATAGGACTTATTTTTTTCCTTTGGTTTGTGTCTTTATTCAATGGTTCTATTTGAGTTTGGTTTTTCACCTTGTTTTTCTCCACAATTTATTTAAAATACTTTTCTGTTTTTTTTCTAATCTCAATTTGCTCTTTTGGGTGTTGAAGCCAGTTATGTCTCTGTTGAACTTCCATTCACACAGCTTTAAAATTAATTGAAAATAGACTAGAAAATCATATGTTGCTGACTAATACCTGGTTGTTTATTTATACACATAAAGTGGATATCATGTATAGATGTTTATATCTGAACACTGTGTGACATGATCTTTTGGGCTCACTTTCCTGCTATCTCTGACCTTGCCTGTACAAATCATGCTTCACGTCTGTTGTGAATATTCATAGGAAAAAATAAGTTTCTTGGGTAAAATAATATCAGTTTAATGCAGCATAGTTGTCTCATTTAAATACCTCATAATGAAGCAAGAGGAAAATAAAGCTGTGTCTGTAAGCTATTAATCAGAGATCACCTTATATGCAATATACAAAAATTGTAATGCAATATATTTTGCAATATATATAGCAATAGGTTTGCCATAGTTAAAAGATTTTAAGTTCTTTACATAATTCTGTATAAATGCCTAAAGCAGAAGATATATAAAATGTTTGCATATCACTGTTGACAAAAGGAATCTTGAAAATGTTGCATAACTTTTCAAAGATCCAAAAGGACACCTGAAATCATCGTTGTAACAATCAATTAATGATATCTAAAAGAATATTCACAAAAGAAAGCAGCATAGAATGGAAATAGAATAGAGATAATACACCCAAAATTGTAAAATTGTTTTAAGAAGTGCCTTTCTCATTACGTCTGAATGCGATTTTCCAGATAGAGGCATTGTAATATGACCCTGTGTGCTGTTCTGTGTGTACAATAAAGCAAGCAAAATTAATCCCTTCCCCTGATGACCTCTAGAAATGAAAACCCATTATAGTAATAATATTTGTACTTAGGTCTTGATGTTTTTGTGCAGAATCTGAATGCCATGAAATGATTGTATACAGTGGCTGATGAGGACACATGTACAGATAATTACATAAATAATCCTCTTTATGTAGGTGCAAGGTGACTTTTTAGATCTGGTGTGGAAACTAGTCAAAGCCTAATAAAACTTGTAATCATTTTCTTTACTGCTAAGGCCTGAATCTTATTATGTTGAAAGGTCTATTAGGAATGTTTCCGTTTTTAACATGGAATGTATGTAACTAGATCTTGCGCACAATTTTCCTGTTTGTAAAACTTGAATTAAGCATTGAAATTTCTGCCTAAGTTACTGGTCTTGATGTTTGCCAAGGTATATATGGTATCAAATGCTATAGTACGTCTTTGTTACCAGTCTGTGGTTTGGTTGCGAGCCCCACTTAAAGGGTAAAAGATCTTCTAAAAACCAACATTATTTAGCTTGGAACAGGAATCAATACTGCATATGATATGGTAATGAAACTCAGACTTTGTAACATATTGATGGACACTGAGAAAGTGTCTGTGGTGAGAGGAGTGGGTGTATTTGTGTGCATGTTGGAGGGATCACAATAGTATTAATAGCATATAAAGGATGTTTCTGACATTTGGTAAACACATGAGTGTGACATGGAGCACGATAGGAGCTACAGTTCAGAAACAACAATACGTACATTAGTTACTCCGGAACTCTATTAAATAAATGTGAGCTTTCTTTTGTTAGCATTTGCATTTTCACAGGATGTAGTAGCAAAGTATTAGCTTTGTGGAAGCTAATTGTAGAAGGCTAAAAAGACACACCCATACTGTTGTACTCCTTCACCTTATTCTTAATACTTGTTTATGTTTCTGATGTGGGCACATGTCCAAGACGGTTCAATTTTGCACAAACAGTCTGGCTGTCTATTTGTGTAAGTGGTAATAAATTCCCATTGATCAGGGCTTGGTAGAAATGTGAACACACTCCATGCTCCCAGCAGACTCCCACTCACCATAAAAGCCCACTGGAATGTTTCAGAATGGTTGGCATTACTGCGTGTTACTTCCCAGTACCAGTACCAGATGGCCTATTGATTTTGATCCCTTTATTTAAATAAAATAAATGATTTACTATTTAAAATAATAAAAAATTATAAAAAAAAAAGGCAAAAAAGGCCACCTGGTATATAAAACAAACAAACAAACCATTCTCTCTCTTTTTAGAGTGTTCATCATCTTCAGAAAGTCCTGAATTATTGCACATTGCAATTTTTTATTTAAAATATATACATGTATATATATATACACTGTGTTGTACTTCTGATAAGGAATAAAACTGTAATTTATTAATTGCATTCAATTTTAGATTAAGATTAAGGGGATTTCTTTTAAGCAAAGTCTGTATAGGTGTTTTGAAGAGGCTGACCTAAGAAGGATACAGATACATGTGAGACTTATCAGTCTTTCATAACTGTACTTCTCAGTGTCTGTAAAGCAGCACTAGCAGAGGAGGTGTGGAGAGGTCTCCTTCTGATGGTGATTTCCATACAAGTACCAGCAGGCTGCTAAAAAGAGAAATCATGAAAGTAAAAACATGAAATGAGAGGCAATATGTGCTAGCTTCTGCAGACACGATACTCTATAATTAGTAAATACTTAAATCAGATGCTTAAATCCCTACTATAAGGAAATAAAAGTCAAGACTCATCAGTTTGAAGTAAAGATTACCAATGAAGAGGGCATGGTTGGGGTTTGTGTGCATGTGTGCATGCACGTGTGTGTGTTTTTCTCAAGAGGCTGGGAGGCTGGAACTCAGCCACATATTCAAGCATTCCATATGTCAGGGACGATCTTTCTTCTCTACAATAGTAGCTTATTATGTAAAGGCATTTTCAATATTTTCATACAGACTATGTCCCACCCCTTTGTTTGGGTGCCATTTTCCTACTTTTGATCCTTTAGAACCCTTTCTGATGTTTCCTCTGCCCACTTAGAAGCTTCACATGCACCACCTGATTCTTGCTCTGGCAGGGCAGTGGGTGATGAAGCCTAGAGAGGGGATACTGCTCCTTTGGTGGGCTGGGAAGATGTTGCACTACTTGTCCTTGGGCATTGTCCTTCTGGAGTTCTACCACCCTGAGGATCCCGTTGGAAATTCTAGTACAATTCTATAAAAATAATTCAGCTTTCTCTTCTACATAAAAATGTTTTTTGTTTGCTCATTTGTTTGTTTGTTTGTTTGTTTCAAGAATGGCATTTCATGCACAACCTTGTAAATGAACACTTGTATTCAAACAACTTGGCAATTATGCAAAACAATTCTGCCTGTTACAGTACACATTCAGTGCAGAAAATTGCTCTGTTAGTCGGACTGCTGTTCCCGTCACAATGAAACATACGTCTGCTTACAGCTAAAAGTCCAAGGGCCTGATTTACTAAAAATTAGTGATCCATCAGATTGATGGGCAATCTGCACTCTTGGTGCCTTGAAATTTCTTGCATCAGTCACCAGATCATGATTTACTAATAGGTTTTCAGGGCTTGCAAAATAGCACAACTCTAACCACATATTAATATTTAATCTGGCATTTTAAGTGCACCTAACAAAAGACCCCAGAGCTGCTGACAGGACCCTAAATTGTGAATTTCTTAGAAAGGAATTGAGTATTTCCATAGCGGTTTCATGTGGAAATCTGAAATAAAAAGAAATACATAAGTCCTGATCATGCACTTACAAGCTTCTGGCTATATTTTCTTGAAAAACTGTTTGTAGGTTGTTGGTTGTTTTTGTTTGTTTTTTTGTTGTTGTTGTTTATTTGCTTGTTTGTTTCATAGTCTGGATTCACTAACATAAACCAAAGCTTCCTTTCCAGTGCCCATAGCTCATGATGGCAGAGAAATTTTAAAATTCATTTCTATATTTTATGCAATTAAACAGTCTATTCTTTAAAACTTCATCCATTTGACAACTCTAGAAAGATGGCAAATGAGGGTAAAAACAACATATAAATCACAAAGACCTCTTTATTACCATGTAATTTAGTAACTGAATCTGTACAGACTTAGTAAATTGGGTCCTCTGTGTTTTGTGTAGCATTTTTAAGTAACCAAGATAGGCAAGAAGCTGAATTACTTATTGATACTTATTGTGTTTCTACAGTTTCACGGCTTAAACAGAGCAATAGAGTAAGTTAATAAGCAAATTCTCCTGCTCCTGTCAGATGAATATTCTAATTTTACAAAATGTATGTAGTGCATGTCTAGAAAAGGGTTTGTTTCTTCCATTTTCATCTGCCATAATTTATGAAAGATGTTCCCAACACCACCTGTAATAATGAATGTTTATTAGTGTGCAAATGAGGGTTATAAATGATGTTGCTTATCTATGTAGCAAAACACAAAAGACAACTTATTAGCAAAAGACAAATTGCTCAGCAAGTTTCAATGAGCTGCTATGTTTGTCATGGGGAAAAACAACAACAACAACAACAACAAAAAACTTTTATTTGCACAGATCAATGCTTTTATAATCCATTTAAAATAATACACTTGCCACTAGGTGGCTATTTCTGATCAGATCATTATACCATTTTAATTACATTTTTAATATCCTGGCTGCATAAACAAAGATAAATTACAAGCCTTGCACAATCTGGCTGCTAGCTCAGGCACAGTCCATAATAATATCAGCTTTTGTTTGTGCCTCCTCTAATTAGATTCTGAAATCTCAGCTTTATCAATCAATAATTTTAATTTCAGAATTGCCTTTTGATCTTGCATTTCATGTTTGTTTGCAGAAAATGATCAGTAGTACAAAGCTGATAATTTATGCAGAAACAATCTCTCAGCAGAGTTACAAACGCATTCCTAGCCATCAACACCACCCGGCAGACTAAGCTTGACACAGGTCTAATTAGCATGCAGATATGTGTCGCCTCATTGGCAATTCAAATTGCTTTTTTATAATGTACCTCAAATTGTGCTACTCAAACATTGTATTTGATTTCCAAAGCCCCCTGGGCATCCCATAATGTCTCCCTTCATCCTGGCTACGAAGCATTTATTGAACAGTCTGCTTCGACTTGGGCTCTCTTTTCAAATGCACCCGAACATTGTAATCATGGGACCAGCTTTTCCTCCTGTTCAGACAGCAACTTGTTCCTCTGCAGAGCACCGTGTGCCACATCCCTGGGCTTAGCGATGATATGTTACCTTGCGGGCTCCCGCTCCCACGGTGGCTGCTCTGTTGAGGGCTTCGCTCCTGTGCCACTCATGTAAAAAGGGGGAGGATGTCTACAGAGCGCACATTAATATGCGACACATAACCACATCTCTGAATGCCAGCCTTCCATTCTTCATTAAACAAAATGGCTGGATTGCGGGGATTGTTTTCCCCTCCACACACGCGCGCGCGCACACACACTAGGCACGCTAGCACAGACCCACACACCCCCATACACATTCAGCTTTATCCCTTGCTCTCCCACATGCACACGCACATGCTTTTCCTCTTACACACAAGCACATGCACACACACGTCCTTCCTGGCTGCTGTAGCGCATCCCTGTCGGCGGGGCGAGTTATGCGCTAAAAGTTGTCTGCGGCATGCATGACATGCAAGGAGATTCCTACCAACATCAGGGCCCTTTTTTGCCATGCAGCAACAAGTGGCAGAATCAATGGTGTACAGTTATTCAGCAGTGTAATTCATTTCACTGGCTTTGGCTTGTAGCCAGATCCGCCATCTGTCTCTTGCTCTCTCTCTCTCTCTCTCTCTCTCTCGCTTGAATTTGTCCTACATTTCGTAATGTTACGTGCTTGCCATCCTTATTCTATGTCAGAGGTGCAGCACAAGTCTCACCCCCGTTCCAGCGTGGAGTTCTCCGAGTTCGGTGCCACTTTGGATATTCCACTTCAGTGCCATGGCAAGAAAAGGGTAAGCAGAAAGGAGGAGAGGGGTAGCTGCAAAGAGAATGGTACTCTTGTATCCAAAAGTCAGAGCATCGGCTTTTTATTTAAAGCATTGATATGGATCTGTCTCACATGGGAACTTTTCCTGCTTCATTAGAGTATCTTCATTTGCTTTATTGGATGCCGGCACTGAACACCACTGCACAGCTTCGTGGAATGCCTGCTGTTGGATGCTTGCAGATCCCTGCCACCAAGCAACCTCCTGCATTGGAAATCGTGTGACTACTCCAGGATCTTATGCGTGCTTGCTGTTTGAAGCTGCAGAAAAGTGAATAATCAATTAAGTATTGATTTCTTGTAAGATTTGGTAAATTTCAAAGGCAAGACAAAGAGGATGGCTTAAGGAAAGCACTGCAGGGACTTGGCGTAAATTAGACAACTAACAGCAGTGCAGAATAAAATAACACCTCAACTGAATATTTCCTTGGAAGAATTAGCACTAGCTATTGGAAGACGATGGTGGATTTAATCAAGACAGCAGGCACGCTTGAGTTTTAACCGTGAACCTGAAAGAGGAGCTAATTATAACCACCTATTTATATGGAGCTAATTTGACTGAATGGATGCAAATGTGCTTTATTTATGGATGAAGAAGCAAGCCTTACAGCATTGACTTTGGGATCATCGCATATGCTAAGCTTTACAGCTTCTCTAAAAGTCAAGCCTACAGTACATTTTATTTACTGAGAAGGTATTTATATGTAAGCATAAGCTAGCTATACAAAAGATTCGTCAGAACAATGTACTGTAGCATTGAGGATCTAATTATAATTTTGCAGCATTTTGTGTTTTCTCTAATTTGGTGCTTTTCAACCCTTGCTTGTGATGGGCTATAAATGGGACAATAAATGTATGCTTTAACCTATTATGATTTTCATTGTGTAGTTTATTAATCGTACTGTAGTTTTCTTAACGTGTTTCTGAATTATTCAGCAGTAATTTATAATGAAAGAAGCAGAACTGGTGGGGTGGTTTTGAATTCATTTATAATCTTCTTACAGATCTAAACGTTCAGGTTCTACCAGCAGATGAGCTCTATAATTACTAAAGAATGTTGAAATTTTTCAGATAAATGGGGCACAGACTTTACAATGGGCACAATATTGTATAATCAGTAAAAAGAGGATTGTTATGTTTTGACTCTGTGGAGACTGGTCTTGGTCAGTTAACTCCTTCTCTGCTGATAATGGTAAGCAAATGTACCTTATACGAGAAAATGGGGGGAGTATGTAATGTATTGCTTAGATGTTTTGTTAGTCTGAGACCTTAGCATATATTTTTAAAATTTATTTCCATTTCTGTTACTTTTCCCAATTTGCTTCTTTGTTTTTTGTCTCTTTTTTTTTTTTTTTTCCTCCTGTCTTGCAATCTACATTCCCTGAGCAACCACAGGAACCAAGTTACATTAAGCTTCAACACAAAGACGATGTAAGAATAATGAATCCTCATTTGCATCGACATTTGTATTCAGATTTGCCAGGCTATAAACTTGGCAGATCAAGCGGAATATTAAGTAGAGGCTTCCATGGTAAATTGCGACTCTTGCAATTGCTGAGTCGTTTTTCCTATTTGTGTGTGCATGTGCATGTGTGCGTGTGTGTGTGCGCATGTGTGTGTGTGTATGTGCATATCTGTAGTGGCTGGTAAAGTCTCACAACTACTTGTTTTCTGAGAAGCACATTGGCCTTCTTTCTCTTGTTGTATATGATGCCATTTTGAAGTAAAATGAAACAGGAATACACCAGCAGAAAGCATTTTAGCTGAAGACATAGTGAAATGTAACTAAAATATTAACTCCTGTGGCTAAAGAACATGAGAATGAATTCTTTATGCAAGCAGATAAGCACTACTGTTAGAGCAAATAGATCACCTGCTTCAACCGGAGTTTTGGTTTCATTGCAAGTAGAGTCCAACACACAACCTGTTAAATAGCACTAAGCCTACCTGCTGCCTGCCATTAAGTCCTATTTTATTTGTGATTAAGTTAATGTCTGTATGCATGTTTCATTTTAAAACATTGAGCCTTGTACATGTGCTCTCCACTTTGGTTGGTTGGACTGTCTCCAGAGTTAGAGTAGTATCTAGACATTGAATGTTGAACATTGAATCTTTTCTTTCACTGACATTGGTTGAATAAGAGATTATCCTAGCTGTACATTTCCCCAGAAATTCTCTCCTCTCTTGGATGAACCATTTTCAGAATGAGCAACAGCAAAACTGAAAGATTTACCTCCCTTTTAACTTTGTACTATTGAAAATAATTTAGACTTGAATTTGGGAACTCCTTTTTATTCTTGACATGGTTTATATTATTTCAGAAGCAGAGAAATGTGCTCAGTCTACAGGTGCTAAAAATGTTCCAAGAATCATGTTTGCTACCCATAGATTTTAAAGTAGTTGTCTCAGGAGTCCAGTCAAAGTTTTCTGGGGAGAACTTGAGTGTGACACTGAATTAGGAGATGCAGGAAATGATCAGGTATGCAGGAAATGCTTCCAGTGCCTTCTTTTATACATAACCCCTCTTTACCACACATGGAAACGTACGATCCACTTATCAGATGGAATTCCAGTACAATATATAGCATGCGTTTTCATAACTACTGATAATTGATAATCTATGCTAAAGAGCAACGACAGTAGAGGAAACTCCTTTTTCTGTTTGTTTGTTTTGTTTTGTTTTGTTTTTGTTTGTTTGTTGGCATTTATTCTTGAGGGGCTGAATGTAAAAACTTTATGGCAGGTCATTTAACATAATCCATTGAAAAACAAGTGCAAAGCTAAACCTGTTGTAAATATTATACTATATAATTATCATCTATCATATTTTCTTGAGAAGCCTTAGAGCATGATTCCTTTACTCCAGGGGAAAAATGTGGAATAAGATGTCTCCTTCCTTTGAAAAAATGTTCTGGACTATGTTTCCACAATGATGCTTAATGTAGAAAGGAAAGTTAGAACATTCATGATATATTACTATACTTCATTCATATCACCTTGAAGTATTAATATCAAAGTTTTTTGTTTGGATTAGTATTTGTACCTGCCATTAATTCCTTTAGAAATTTATCCCAGAACAGTGAACAAAGTGGTTCTTTTCTGAGAAGGGAGAAATAATATCTCATTGACTTTCTGAAAAGAAAATCTAGTGAAAAAGAAGCCTAGACATTTAAATTTCAGATCCATAGAGAATAACAGATTAATAAAATTTGAAGTTTTTTCTAAGCATACATTTACAACAGTTATTCAGCAAAGTGCATTCTTTAAATATATATATATATAACCTAATGATTTTTCCTATTTAAAATTCTCCATCTTGATACTTATAACCACAGAAAGACTATGAATTTGATGAAGAAAGGAGAGATGAAGGAAAAATGTTTTTAGCTCTAAATACATTCATCATATTCACTGATAAAAAGACAAAAACAGCTGGCAAAAAAAAAATGAGGTTTTGTAGGAGCAATTCCAACCTGTTCCATGGCCTTCCATTTGTACTGAGATGTTGAATAAAATACTGGAGTTCTGTTTGTAATGAAAGTGTTCTGTGAGATGGGTATTCACCATAGCTGGACAGGGTACAACACAGTCTGGGCACAGTATACAGCTGCTTTAGAAGCGTGGAGCTCCAGGCCTGTTACAGAATTACAGCATTTACAGCATTGTGTTGCTATAAATAAATAAATAAATTCCAACAGTGCAGAGCTCTCTATATTTACTAAAGCTCAGACATGATCATTTTGAATAATTATTTTTCTGACCAAAGATTATTTGGTGTAACTTACTGTTGTGATGAGTATCACTCAAAGGTTTTGTTACATGTTGAAACCTTAGCTGGCTTTCTGTCACCAGAATGGTCATCATACTGAGTTGAAGGAATGTAGCATCCTAGTTTTTCCTGTTTCCTGTTTTTCTCATTACTTTGTGCATCTAATGGCAGTTTGGATTTAGACAATTTAACTGTTTCTATTATATAGACAGTAAACCATTTCCCGTTCATGTTTTGTAGAAATAAAGGAGACAGAAGAGATTTTCAAAAGAAGTAAATGGGCAAATATGCAATGCAAGGAGAAAAGATTTAGTCTTCAGAGTGTTTTTTCCACTGGCTTTTTATAATTGATAATTTTTGAATCTCTTCTTTACAATGTGAAACTTGTGTTTCTCCTGCTCTGTGTTTTTTTACTGTGGTCTATCTTTTGAGGCACTGTATTGGTAATCTGCGATTGCACATGCTGCAGTTTTTTCCAACTAATTGAAATTTTTTCTGGGAATGTATAATCCACTGTAATGTGTTATTTGCCATAGTTTGGCCAACCAAGCAAAAAGTTCATCTTTCCCCAACAAAATAAATACATGTATGTTTTCAATACTAAGAGTTGTTACATGACAAAGCTTTTAATTTAATTGCTAGGAATGAGTTAGAAGGTGGTTACTGCACTATTTTCAATTTCAAGCAGTCCTTTGATTCCTAAAGACAAATTTGTACTGACTATAAATATAATTAGATAATGAATAAACTAGATATGCACAAAGTTCCCTCAGACCTACGATATCTTTCTGTGGTTTGTTGCTTATTGCATCTTTATGCTTCAATCCTGTAATTTGTGTTTGGATAGTATCAAGGGTAATAAGACTCCAATTCTGATCGGTGTCATAACATAAATAATAATAGAAGTGCATTGTTTTAGAGAATATACATGATTTCCAGCATGGTTGTTTATTTGCATAATTAACACCGTCTCTTTTAATTAAGAGGTTGCTGCTTTTGGTAAAATCCTGTGGTCATTAATTTTGCTTAGATTTTCACTGGGAATTTTGCTTAATGAGAAATGCAAGGTCAGCTTTCTGAAAGCCATGCCCGCCCATGTTTCATTATTGTCACAGTGAATCACAGAGAGAGCAACATGGAACTCGCCTTACTCTGCATCAAACTTGGCCATCTCTGGCACTAAATTCAGCAGTGGGGTAACAAAACTCAGCAACTGAGCTCAGGGAAAGATCGAAGAAGGGATAATTTATTTTCTGAATTTTAGTTTAGTATAGTACAGAAATGAGAGTTTCAGAGTGAAGTTTCAGGACGAATACTGGATGCAGACAAAACACGTGCAAGGCGACTGTTAACCCAATGTCCGTAGTTAAAAGAAAGAACAAGCAGCAGGACACAAATTCCAGTCATTGCAACTTGCAATGTATAACTACCAGTTTCTCCTGGATCCATAATTTATGTTGGGACCTGCAATGAATCATGCCACACAGAAGTGGTCCTAGGCTGCAGAAGATAAATCTAATGACACATCAGCCATTACTAATTTAGGGCTGCCTGCTTCTGCTCTCAGAAGTATAAATGGGAGATTTTCTGTGGACTACACTTGAAACTGTATTTGGCCTTATTCAGAAAACACCTAAGTTACTTGTGCTATACTATGCCATGCTGTCAACACTGAACAGGAGGTGGCATTTTAAACAGCTGAAATATTCTGAAATATGGCACCATATGTAATGTCCACTCATCCTATTCGAAGCATTTTCATGTTAATACTTAACATAGTAATTTATCACAGTATTAAGAGAAGTGCTTGACTTATTCTTTTCAGTAAACTTAAGTTTTTGCGTAATGAATTTTCTATAAAAGACATTCTCTCAAAAGCAGTTTTGACTTTTCAAAGCATTGTAGCCCTCCTTGTAAAGTATAAATAAAATGCTGCAAAAGAGAGCTTTAAAAAGGGACCAGCTGTGAAATTTGTTCCCATCTTGCATTTCTTAAATTTAGGTTAACTTTTCACAAGCGGTCAAAAAGTTCATTTAGATTAACTGCTGACAAGTTCATTTGTATCCCAACCAACCAGAAAATTTCCCCCTGAGGTTTCCTGC